AAAAGTAGGAAAAAATAATGGTCATAAATTCTTTATTATCAGTTATGATATTAGCTAAAAGTGGATAAATAATGATTAAAAGGAAGTTTGGTATGATAAGAGAAAATTATCAAAGCATATGCTATGTGTTACAAAAAATAGACTTTAAATTAAAAAATGTAAGTAGTTTGAGTGTAAAAAAAAGTAGATTGATTGTGTAATTAGTTGCAAAAAAAGAAAATAAGGAAGAAGCAAACTGGAATAATTGTTTTAAATAAGACAAAATACAGCAGAGCAAGCTAGTGCACACCTGTAATCCCAGCTCTCAGTAGGTTACAGCAAGAATATTGTGAATTCAGTGCCAAGCTTAGCAGTAGATCAAGATGTTGTTTAAAAAAATCAATAAGTCAAAAAATGTAAAAAAACTGAACCAAATTTATTTTTTAAAGTGTTATTACTGAAAAAGAAGGTTATATGATGTTAAAAGAGATTCTCCACTCAAAATCAGTAGCAAGTATAAATATAGATGCATATTCCCAGACACTCAAAGTACATTAAATAAAAATGTACAGAATTTTAAGGAACTGTATAATTTAATAATAATAATAATAATAATTGGGGTACTTAGCATCATTACATTTTTAATATATATGTTATATGTGGTTTGATGAGAGTATTTTACTCCTCAACCTGTCCTACTGATTTCCTTTTTTTACCCCATCTTTCCTGTTTTCTTTTTCCTTAAACAACTCTTCTCTACTTTCATTTAATATACACATACATGATTTCAACAGTAGTTATATTGTTATGAAGCATCAGCTAAGAAATGAGCAGAACACGTCTACAAATGAGTCATTAGAAGTCTTTAATGGACTTCTATAAGAATAGGGCACATATTTTTCTATATAGAGTATATATTTATAAAACAAATCTCAGTATATTTTTAAAATTCATAATTTCAGAAAGCATGTCCTCTAACAATTGAATAAATTTGAAATCAGCTACAAAAAGAATTTTTAAGAGTTAAGCTAATATGACAGGATGTTTTAAAACACCTTTGGAGGGGTCTTCCCCTTGTTTAGTATCTTTTAAAAGGCATTTATTCAGTGATTAAAATTGTCATTAGAGATTTATTTTACTACGTAGATTTGGTTTAGTTGAAAAAAATTTTGAAGCTGTGATAAATGCTGTGGAATTAAAAAGTTTCTAAACAGCAAATAAAACAATTCAGTGAAGAGACAACTTAAGAATAGAAGAAAATCTTTGACAGCTACATCGAAGACTAAAATTTAGAATACATAAAGAACTAAATTCCACACAGTATATGGGTCAATGTAACAAACAGAGATGAAGTACCAATGATCAATGAACCTATGATTGAAATGTTCAAAATCCTTAGCCTACCAAAAAAAAAAATACAAAATAAAACAGCGTTGAGATTCTATCTCACCCCAATCAGAATGGGTATCATTAAGAAAATAAATAACAATAAATGCTGGCATAGAAATGTTATTTATTCAACCTGTGGAAATTAATATGGAAGTTCCTCAATAAGCTAAAAATAGGACTAGCATATGACCCAAATACATTACTTCTAGGTAAGCACACAAATTTTCTAAGTCCACATATTACAGAGATGTTGTCACCTGTATATTTATTGCTACACCATCCACAGGAGCCAAGTTATGAAATCATCTTAAGTGTTCATCAATCAATAAACTGATAAAGAATTGTGCTGTGCATGCACAGTGGAGTTATATTTAACCTTAAAGAAGAATTAAATTATATCATTTTCAGGAAATAGACACAGCTGACAATATCACATGTTTTTATTGCTCATTAATTTGTGGATCTTAGATTTTCATGCAGATATATAAAATTATAGGTATGTGTTATATGCAATATATATATATTATATATGTAATCGTGTATTTATGGAGAAGCAAAACTTGGAGGATGAATGGCAAGAATGGGAGAGGTGATGAAAGGAAGAGGGAATGAATGTATCCCAAGTACATGATATAGTTATTTGAAATGAAGCTTATCACTATGTATAATGAATATATGTCAATAAAATTTTGTGTTAAAACATTAAAGGAATTTTAAATTATAAAATATTATAAAATATGATTGAAGTTCAAATGAAATTTTTTAATATAGACCAAGCATATGCTGCTGTTGGGATTCATGAAAATTGCCCTTGATTCTGAGCTTTCCCCCCAGTGATAATAACAAAGAAAGATCTATATGGGATCTTAGAGTCTGTTCTGAAAGAAAACATCCCATAACCATCATAGTCATCATATCCTGACCCTCATAATTACACTCACTTATAAGCATGTCTTTAAACAATTGCTCAAATAATGAAAAGTTACCATGCAGCTCAAAGGAAGTTCCAAATAGTGATAACCTAAACTAGACTTCAGTCAAAAGCCAAGTGTTTCCACTAGTCCAATAAGACAATCTTCTGCTATCTGAAAATTCTGAACATTTTAACTAAGTGAATGTTTATTCTGTATATCATGTTCTGATTACTGAGAATTACAGTAATAAATGATTTCACTTCTGCTCTTAGCCGCCTTATTATCTATTAGATCATGCTACTCCAAAAAGCACAAAATAACTCCAATTACATAAAAATTGCAGTAAGTGCAATAACTATGGCATAAAACATAGTGATTTACATTGGGTATGGAACCACTTGCATCTAATCCCAACATTTCGGAAGCAGGGGCAGGCACTCTATGTGAGTTTGAGGAATGACTTTTCTACAAAGGAAGTTCCAAGCCAGCTACATAGATATATGAGACATGTGCATACAGAGAGAGAGAGAGAGAGAGAGAGAGAGAGAGAGAGAGAGAGAGAGAGAGAGAAGAGAAGAGAAGAGAGAAATTGATGATTGAGAGATTACATCTAGCTTTATTTCTTATAAAGCACTGGTTCTCAACCTCAGGTACATGATAGTATCACCTGGGGAGCTGTGAGAACACTTCGTGACCAGACTTCACCCAAATAAATCAGGATGTCTCATGCATCCTGACTTTCTACTCTCCCTAGATGAGCCCACTGTGTAGCCAGGTTTTAAAACCATATTATGAAAGACCAGGAAGAATGGGCATGCTTTTGGCTGAAAGGGACAGAGAATGGCACTTGGAAGAATCTTCTCCTAAATATACCTAATTTATTTTTGCTCTCTAAACCTCAGTTATCACATTCTCTGAAGTGTATTTTGGACCCCTCCAATGATATCCATGAGAATCCTGATAATATTTATATAAGTTATCGGTATTTTGTAGACTTTGTTATATTCCAAGACACCATAATGAGCACTTTAATTATATTTCAATATTACCTTTTCTCCAAAAACAATAGGAGCTATATAGCAGTATTAGTATTTAACTTTACATTTGGAAAAAGGAAATAATTCGTCAAGGGAACACAATTAAAAACTGGTGGAGTTGGAAATGCAGCTACCAAATCCATGTTCAAAAACGGGACCTACTGATCCTATGCAGCTCAGATTTACATTTATCACACTGTGAAACATATTGTATTGTAATATTTGTGATGTGCATTATTTGTTCATCCAGTTGACATGTATTGAATTTGTCCTGAGTGTACTTGGTTCTAGAAAACTAAGTCTGAGTACTAACAGTGTAGAGCACACATTAACAAATAAGTTGACTGATTAAATCCTGTCAGCCACTTCTTTTTATAAGTGAAACATTTGATAATTTCTCAAGACCACTGGTTGACTAATTTCCTACCTGTAGTGACCTAAAAGATCGCAGTAAAGTAGTTATAAGAAACAATCTGCCTACAAAGCCTTAAAATGTGATGGTCTGACCATTTCCAGAAAGTTTGACTGCCCATAGTCTAAAGCACAAGACAAGTGAATCACTAGTGACTACCCAATGGTATGCATCCTGTGCTATTCACACATAGGTATATAAAAATTAAATATATATATATATATATATATATAATATAGGACAACCAGTTCCTACATGACATGGTACTGGAAAGCTTGGTTGAGTTACCTATATAAAAAGGATCAAGCAGATCAGTAAGACAATGTGGGCAGTGAGGCAAGGAACTAAAGAAACTGTTTAAAAAATAAAATAGGTAGGTTTAAGTGATGCTAATTAGTTTTATATGCCTCATGAAAATGTAGTTTTGATTTTTTTCATTTTTATCATTTTGTTGGAGAGGGATATATGGGCAGGGCTTTGTTATGTGATCCAGGTTGTCCTTGAAGTCATGTTTTCCTGTTTCAAAGTGCTTGGCTCATAGATATGCACCGCCATGCTCAGCTAACAGACTTATTTTGATGCTCACTAGAACATCTAATGATGCACATGACAAAATGCCCTCCTAGGGATCAGAAGTCCTGGCATGTTGTTGCACAGTAAAGTGACTCAGGTTAAGTATGTACTGTATGTTTCAAAAAAAAACTAACAGGTGTTTCTCAATGTTCACCATAAGGAAAAATAAATAATTGAGACAATAGCAATCTTTACCTTGATTGAAATATTATGTATGCATTCAAGAATGAAAATATCACATTCTTTCATAAATATTATGTTTGTTGTTATGAATCAGTTAAAAATAATATAACTCTAAAGACACACTAAGCACTTGTAAATTGGAAGTTATTTGCTAACTTAAGTGACTAGTTCCTATGCCAAAGAAGAATGAAAAACGTATAGCATGGTTGCCTTTTGTAGTTCTTAAATTGATTGACCTATAAGAATTCTATCTTCTCCAACCCACACAACTACACGATCTCCCCCAGGCAGCTAGTACCATTGCAGACTTGGAAATTCAGTACTCAGTCACCCAGGCAGGACAGACTGAAATTCAAGTTCAGTCTGGATCACTTAGTGAGAACCTGTCTCAAAACCACAACAGCAGCAATAACAACAAAAATAATCTGGAGGGTGGCATTTTTCTTTGTTTCCCAGTTGTTTTGATTGCATGTAACTATTAATACCATGTGGAGTGTTTGCAGTTGACAGTACCTGGAAAATTCATGGGCAGTTCAAAGGGCTTCCGAGATTCGGAATCTCTAGAATTATCCTCACAAATTTCAGCCATTATCTTCTTAATTTTGAGGCCTGTGATTTTAATCACTTCCCCTGTTGACAAACAGCATTCATTGCCGAACATTTCATAAATAGACCCTGAAAAGAAAGAAAATAATCTTTTAAAAAAGGAAAGCTTAAACAGTAAAGAACAAAATCACTGCCAAATGCCTCATATAAAATGTTTTCACTCAATTCCTCCCTTATCCAGCTAATAAACTTTAATTAAATCTGACTATCCCAGAATGTACACCATGCACCAGGAAACATATTGGATTTTCACTTTATCCACTGGGCAAAGTATAAACAATCTTTTTATTATTATTTTAAATTGAATTTTATGGTTTGTTCATCACCTTTAGCTCATTTACCCAAGGTCAAACCACAGTCAGGTATCCCGCTGCCAGATTTATGGTACATTTTTGCCAGGTCACAGAATTAGGCCCATATGAGTCAACAGCAATTTGAGTCAGTACTGCAAACAGGGCTACAATACAGTCCAAGCAAAGACAGAGATGGTTGTGTACCAAGGCTTCGTACTAACAGCATCCTATTTATTTTTCAGATCTGGTTCTCTTCATCATCGTGAATTTAATTTAAGTCTTCTTGCCCATTTTTATCTGTGGTGTTTTGACAAACCAGGGACAGCGCTGGCTACCTTTGTGGCAATAGGTGGCAGAACAGCCCAGCTAAACAGAGCAGCTGTACTTTGTCTCACAGTCTCAGCCCCCTTCACGACAAACCTTTCATCATAGATACTCATGGTAAGGTTTTCATTCATTCATTGTCTTTCTGTGTCTCCAGAGAGAAGGTGAATGGGCTGTGAAACAATCAGAGTATGAACATCAGGAAAGATGAGAGATCATAGTTCTGAACAGTCAGCCCTAGTCAAAGGAGAACAGCTCAAGGCAGAATCTCTGGAAGACAATCGCATCACAAATGAACAGTCGCTTATACCGGTGTAAGGAGCATTACAGGACTGCAAGCATTAAATACAATAGTGGTTTGTCTTTCCCTCTAGGTGGCTTAAGCTTCTTGATCACACGAAATGTAAGGCCATGAGGGCAAATGCTAGCTCTGTCTGCTTTCTGAATTTTCACTATTGAAAAGTAAATTTTCTAGTTCCCTTTTTTCTTTAGTGCCCTCACAGACTCTAGCCATACATGTGTTTGTAAACATACATATATGGAGATAGATAGATAGATAGATAGATAGCTAGATAGCTAGATAGCTAGATAGCTAGATAGCTAGATAGCTAGATAGATAGATAGATAGATAGATAGATAGATAGATAGATAGATAGATGATAGACAGACAGACAGATAGATAGGTTATAACCCTCTTATGGCATTCATGGTTTTCATAAAAATTTTTAAATCTGAGATTTCACCCAGTTCAAAGCACTCTATGAGTCTATCAGTGCCTCAACAGGTAGCATGGCATGATGCAATCAAAGAAATCTGAAGGATCTTGACTTCCTTAAGGACAATTTACACAGAGGCACAGCCACCTCTAGGCAACCTAAGAAAGCAGATGTACTGACTCTCATTGTTCTTCAACCGTACCTCTGTGGCCAGATTCTACCAGAGGCCAAAGGGCAAGAGAGCAGCTAGCAACCTGGCAAAGGTGTGCCTCCTGGGCAGAGTGGAAATCGAAGTGTGCTATGTGAGACCTTCCATCCCGCACAGAGAGCATCAGTCCTGAGGACCAGCTTGTCTGGTCCTTGACCTGTTAGCATCTTATCCCAAACCCCATTTGTCTTCTCACACTGTTCTCTTGACTACTTATGCTCCTGTACTTTCATTAGCCTGAGGACATAGAGCTGCTAGTCCCAAGTTCTATTTTGAACAAGCTGAGGTACGAAATAAATAATTTAAAAAATCCATGCCACATCTTCTTTCAGTAAACTCAGAACAGTTCTATGCTGTGAGAAATCACATACTGACATTCTGTATCACTACCATTGAATCATCCTGTATTTAACTTTTCATGAATTTGGTTTTTATTAGTCCTAATTCAAGTTTAAGGTTCATTAGAAAAATAATAATTGAATTATATTTTTTGTATGATTACAATCCAACCAGGCTTCCTTTATACTCACTCAGTCGGTAAACTAATTGTGTAAGGTCTTGTGACTGGCAGTAGCCATCAGGGATAAAAGGTCTAGTTTTTTCAATCAGAAGCATGGTCCTGCCAAGAGTGGGCAGGAAGCCAGTCCATTGCAAAAGACCCGGGGTGTGGGGAACCCTAATAAAGGAAATGTGGAGTGTTGTAAAGTCGCAGAGGCATCTCCGTTTCCATAGGAAACAGAAAGTAGGAATGAATCCTAGAGGACACAACAGCCGATATGGGCCTTAAAGGAAGAGTCACTTGGTGCCAAAATGGGCAGAAGCAATACTATTAGAAAGGTACTGAGATATGGAAAAAAAAAAAACCTGATGCATTCTGGAAACTTTAAGTAGTTTCTTGAGTCTAAATTGTAAAGTAAGAGAGGTGAGGTGTTGTTTAGTTTTGTTTTGTTTTAAGAAGGAATATGTGGAGCAAGTAAAAATAATATGTTTTTTTATTAGATTTGCAATGCACAAAACAACAGGCTGTAGTAACTTTAAAATCAGGGAATCTACATCTCCAGTTATCTGGGTGCAGAAAGAAATCCCAGTTTAATAAGAGGTCATTTGTACTCTAGACATTAACTACCCAAACTGTGGTCCACTGTGCCACCCGGGAGCTTGTTAGAATCTTGGTCAAGTTGCTGAATCAGAACCTGCATTTTTAACAAGCTCCCCAGATGATTAATAAGTACATTAAGGTTCGTAAAGCTCTGGTCTGCGCTGCAAGCACAGAGCTGAAGTAACATGTTTTGGAATTGTTGCAAAACAAATCAGAGGAAAACGCGCCACCCGCTCACAGAAAACCTTGGGTTCTGTGAGGTGGGGAACAGGTAAAGGATTTGAGATATGTAAGTGCTAAGGAGTGATTTTTCTTTATCAGGTGAAAAAGGACATCATTTAACTGTGAACACCTTTTAGCTGGAAGTCTTGAACTTAATTTCAGTACAATGAGTGTCTATTCTTCAGTAGGATTTATAGCCAACTCACGGGCAGGGAATGCCATCTTTTATATATTCAAAAGGATCCAAAATTCAAAAGATAAATTTGTGCAAGATTATATATCAGTTTGTAAGGGCATGAAGCTGGAGAATTCTATGACAATAAAATTATGCATTCTAGCCAACACATTGAAAGTTTTTAGTCTCTTCCTAAGCATCTATTTCTCTCCTTAAAAATAGAAAAGAAATGCATTTTTATTAACATTAGGAAAAGAACACCATGCAAATACTAATAGAAAATTCCTCATTTAACATGTGACCACCATTTTGCTTCTAGCCAGGAAAGTCTCTCTCTGCCTCTCTGTCTGTGTGCGTGTGTGTGTGTGCTTTCTCTCTTGTTGCATAATGTTTTGTTTGTGTTCTGACAAATAAAGCTTACCTGGAGATTAGAGGACAGAGCTAGCCACTAGTTAACTATAGAGGACAGACAGTGCTGGTGGTGGCTCACACCTTTGATTCTAGCACATGGGATCTCATGCTTTTAATCCCAGCAATTGGGAGGCTCATGCCTTTAATCCCAGCATGAGGGATGTGGAGACAGGAATATAAAATGGTTGGAGACAGGATCTGGCGCCAATTCAATCTGAGGATTCTAGAGACAACAATTTCAGTCTAACATTCAAAGAGGCAGATGCCCCCATTCAGTTGGAGATTTAGAAGAGGTAAGAAGTTTCTGGTAGCTAGCTGTTCTGCTTCTCTGATCTTTCAGCTTTCACCCTAATGTCTGACTCTGGGCTTTATTCTTAAGACTAAGTAGAAGCATGCTTCACTCTCCATCTCACACTTTTGATCCTAATACATGAACTGGCTTTGTGGGAGCCTAGCCTGTTTGGATGCTCACCCTCCTGGACCTGGATAGAAATGGGAGGACCTTCCTTCCATTGAATACTTTTAGCTCCTTTATCAAAAATCAGGTGTTCATAGGTTTGTGGGTTAAAATCCGGGTCTTCTACTCTATTCCATTGATCGACTTCTCTGTTTTTATGCCAATACCAAGCTGTTTTCAATACTGAAGCTCTGTAATAGAGTTTGAAGTCAGGGATGGTAATGCCTCTAGAAGTTCCTTTATTGTATAAGATTGTTTTGGCTATCCTGGGTTTTTTGTTTTTCCATATAAAGTTGATTAATGTCTTCTCAAGATCAGTGAAGAATTTCGATAGGATTTTAATGGGGATTGCATTGAATCTATAGATTGCCCTTGGTAGAATTGCCATTTTTACTATGTTGATCCTCCCAATCCAAGAGCAAGGGAGATCCTTCCATTTTCTGGTATCCTCTTCAATTTCTTTCTTCAAAGACTTAAAGTTCTTGTCAAATAGATCCTTCACTTCCTTGGTTAGAGTTACCCCAAGATATTTTATGCTATTTGTGGCTATCGTGAAAGGTGATGCTTCTCTGCTTTCCCTCTCTGCTTCCTTATCCTTTGTGTATAGGAGGGCAACTGATTTTTTGGAATTGATTTTGTATCCTTCCACGCTACTAAAGGTGTTTATCAGCTGTAGGAGTTCTTTGCTGGAGTTTTTGGGGTCACTTATGTACACTATCATATCATCTGCAAATAAGAAGTGGGAGGATCTTGGACTTCCTGCAGGGCAGGGAATCTGGACTGCTCTTCATTCTCGAGAGGGAGGGGGAATAGAGTGGAGGGAGGAGGAGAGGGGGAGGGGAGTTGAGGGAGGAAGCAATGTGTGAGAGGAGGGGAAGGGAAATGGGAAATGGGGAGGAGGCCGGAATTTGTTTTTCAATAACTAAAAAAATAAATATATAAAAAAGAAAATAAAAAAAGAAAATGTCTTGTATAGTCCAGGCTGGTCTTGAACTCATGATGCAGGCTAAGAAGTGCATTAACTTCTGATGCAGGGGCTTGGAACTGCATCTTATGCTGCTGCACATAGTTGGCATGGTGTTGAAGGTCAACCCCAGGGCTATGTGCACAGGAGGCAAACACACTGCAAGCTGAAGCACATCCTCACTACGTCTGTACTTGAAAGGATGCTCAGGAACACCCAAAATGCAGAAGCTGTGTCAGCGACAGGTAGCAAGGGCATATAGCTTCTTGTAGGTCCGTGAAATAAGCAAGCTTCTCATACTTCGTTCTTACCAACATAAAGCCTCCTAAAATATACTTGTCCCTGAGTTTTCATATAATGATGAATTTTAAAAATAGGCAACTTCCGTGATCTCAGAATAAACACACATGTGTGACTGCTTTTTAAACTTTTGCTGAGATGCGTGTCTGAAGTATGTTTGCTTATGTATAGACATGCATATTCAAGTAGTCTTCTTCCCATTTTAACCAGGAGACATGTATTTTGAATATGCAAGTCTCAAATCTCTTCAGTCTTTACAGTCTGATTCTCTCCAAGTCAGAGCATATGTATTCAGGATAATGCCAAACATCAGAGCGAACTGGAACAAAGCAGCCTGTTTTCAGTGATCAAACATTGCCCCTGAAGACTGTAATGAAAGAGCCATGTGCCTTTGAAATCACCTCCTCTGTAATACTACTTTGCTCGATAAAAATGACACATTAATATCCTTTTATGAGCCCATCCCTTGCTTGCCAATCCATATAAGCAATGCTATGATCACATGGGAACAGTCGAAACAATTGGTTCAGTAGGCTTTTTTCCCCCTTCCATTTCTCCTCAAAGCATGTGTGGCAGTCAGGAAAGAGGAAGGTTTTCTTGTCTGTGTTCAAACACACCATGTCCCAAACTATGCCGTCTCCTTCACTGCTTTACCACCTCATTGAACTGTCCAAGCTCAGCCAACCCTAAAGATTCAGCTAACGCTCCTCCTCAAAGACTCCTCATATCCAACTAAAGAAATGTCCGTTCCCTCCTGTGCTCTAATAGCACTTTGTATACACTCCCTCACAGAGATTTGGGGATACCATTAAAGCTGGAATTGGGGTGATTTTTATTATTGATACCACATACATTTGGGGATTTAGTATAACTTCCTAGAAAAGAGAAAATAAGTTAGCTAAATGTACAAACCCTTCCCTCATCACCCTACCCCACAGATTTACTATACAATTTTTGTTCATACTAGATCTCATGTGAATGTTTTCATTATTAGCCTTTTCTGTAAGTGATTCGTAGGACAGTAACTGTCTTTCTATATCAGCGTGTTCTACGAAAGGGTTGGTGTGAGATGTATTTTCTCTTTCTGTGTTTACTATCAAAGGGCCAAGCAAAATTCAGATAATCTGGCTGCTTTCTGGGTACTTTAAAAAATGTAAGGGGCAGGCAGTTCTTTCGTGTGATTTCTACTTTTATTTTTCCACATTAGGTACAAGGGAATGAACCTATGGACTATGCATGTTGAGTAATGTGAGATATTTGTACCCTGTGTGAGATATTCGCTGTGAATGATTTAGTCAAGAGCTGAATGGCCAATGGAGAAAGCAGGAGATAAATCTAGGTGTAGGAGAGATGCCAAGAGATGCAGAAGAAGCAGGATGAGCTGTATGTGTCAGTATGTAGATTAATAAAAATGGGATAATTTAAGTTATAAGAGATAGTTAAAAACAAGCCTAAGCTAAAGACAAGCTTTCATAATTAATAATAAGTCTCCGTGCTGTTAATTGGGAGTTGGCTGGCAAGAAAAAGAAAGGCTTTGGAATGATTTCAGAATAATCATTCCAAAGCTAAGCTACTTAGCCATCCCTTTTCACTTTTTATTTTAAGACAGGGTCTCACAAAATTGATCAGGCTGATCTAAAACTTGTGAGTTAAACCTCTTGAGTAGATGGGATTACAGGCGAACACCACCAAGCTTGATTGCTACTTTTCGTTACATTTTGTTGATTTTGTTTTACAGTGGAGCTCATATAAAGATTTGTGATAGATATGGATGCATTAGGAAGTCTTGCCTGAAAAATATGATTGCTAGTATATGGCAATGTATAAGAAAACCATACCAGTTGTCTATGGGATTCTATGTTCAAGAATATAATATATTTTCAGGAAGCAGCAAGTCCATAAATGAAACCTCTAAGTATGAAATTATTTTTAATATCTATTTATTTATTATGTGTACAGCATTCCTTCCATGTGTGCCCACAAGCCAGAAGGGGGCGCCAAGTCTCATTATAGATGGCTGTGAGCCACCATGTGGCTGCTGGGAATTGAACTCAGGACCTCTGGAAGAGCAGTCAGTGCTCTTAACCACTGAGCCATCGCTCCAGCCCTAAATATAAAATTATTATATTACATTTATATCCCAAAACATTGTGGTTGATAGACGTTAAAGATACTATTAGAGAGAGCTCTTCAATTTTTCTAGAAAGTTTGCCGTACAAAGGAAGTTTAGAAGGAGCTATGACTGATATAGATATCTGTATGGACAGCCTTCTATAAAAAGAAGTTCCTATCCATTCCAAAACCAGACAAATTCTTTCTCGGCATCTGAAAAATATACCTAAACGCAAATGAACTTGCTGTCTCAATGCATTGTTGAGATCACTGGGCACATGAATTAGTGAGCCTGTTGCTTACCTAGCAGAAAAAGACCCTGACTGTTAATAAGAACCGATCTTTCAAATTCATGCTTTCCTCACCCCAACATATCAATCAAAAGAGTCGTAAAAGTAAGGATGACTGCCCTCAAAAGAATTAGGGAATGGTTTGTACATCGTGAGGAATATAGGAATCTCTAGTTAATTGAGGGTTAAAATTTTATTCAGGAAATGAAGCCTAAAAACAGGAGTGTGCAAGACATTGCAGCATATGCAGTTGAGCTTTGAAAAATCTGCATTTGAGGCTAGGGGTGCTGGCATATGCTTTCACTCTCAGCACTCAGGACACAGAGGCAGGCATATTTCTGGAAGTCGAAGGCCAGCCTATCCTATATAGCAAGTTCAAGGCCAGCCATGGCTACATAGTGAAACACTATCTCAAGTAAAATAAAATCAAATCTGAACAAACAAAGCAATGAAAGACCTTATGGATTGGAAAAGACTGAACTTTCAAAGAAAACGTAAAGAAAGGAAAAAAGATTAAAATGTTAGGACCAGGGAATTAAATGAGAGCTGCATTTTCCACTACACTGAGTGATACAAATGCAATCAGAATTTACTCATTGTACACATGGGGGAGGGATAATTCAGTTTCTTAAATGGCTAACACTTAAATAACTAACATGATTTTTAAGACTGTACTATAGGGTTTCGAGCATGCTCATTATTACTGATGTGGTCTTCGGGTTCTTTGTTTCAATGGTTGGCAGAGTAGAAAGATCAAGAGGTGTCTGTGTGTGGGTGAGCATTTCTCTTATGTAACCACAAACCTTTTCTGTTCTATGATGGTGGCACAGATGTGTAGTTTTTCATCATCTGATATTATTGTTGACCAAATATCCCTACATTTTATTCAAATTTCATGCAACAAAATGACATCACAAATAATAAAATTTCTTGGGAGTTGATGCATTGTTTTAGTAAGGATTTGGTTTCAAATATAGGTAATGACCCTTCAAAGCCTGCCTGTGTCTTATAACCTAGATGTTAAGTAAAACTACTATAGAACGAAAGTCATAAAGCTATTCTATACCTCTCACTTAATGAATATGAATGTATTGGCTATGTTGATTATCTAGGGCCTCAAATGTACTGTAAAATGCACACACAATACATAAAAGTAAAGCTCTACCATAG